AGTTCTTGACCTGCTTTGAACGCGTTGAAACCAAATATTAAAATTACTAAACGTTGGTTGAGAATTCAGATACGACACTTTGTGAGAAGGAAGTGGCGACCTTATATTGCTCATACCTGGCTCAAATTTGCAAAAAATGTCAGATACGACACTTCGTGTTTTGGGGGACGACATACACAAACAGTATGTATATTCTAGCTCCAGTCCGACCCAAAGCTGATCGAAAAAAAAAACGAAATAGCTAATTTTAAAGATTTTGTGATACAGCTATTTGTACGCTGTCAAACTTGAGCATTTTCGTATATTGTACTAAATACAAAGACATTTTCTCAAACTATCCGCCTATTCGACAATGGTGCTGACTGGAGTGCAAATAATATTTTCCCTATATGTGCAGACTCTCACTGAAAGAAATAAGTAAAAACACTGCAAGGATTTAAATCTTTAATAACAAAAAGTGCATATACACTAAAAAGCTAAAACGGCTGAGCTTAATTACAATTACCAAGATCTGCTTAAATACCTATAAGTATCATAGAGTTCCCAACATGGACAAAAAGAAATGAGACTACGAAAATACAAAAACTCATCAACTGAAAATCATGAGTCAAGCCGCGTTTTCGCCCTACAAGCCGAAATATTGGAAAAATAATGCCACCAATCCCCTGTATCTCCGCCACTGGTGCACGTTAATTTCAAGTAAAGACTTTTGAATATGGACAATACTAAGGTAAATCCACATGCCAAATTTTAGTTCATTCCAGTTGACGGTTTTGAAGATACTGAAAAAGTTATTTTTATTTTTAAACTTCAATCTTTTTAATGAAGCCCTCGTGGAAAAAATGTTACATCGAAAATTAAAATACGGTCTTGTGTAGGATGTTGCATTTTCGATCACGAATTGTGAATCACCCTGTGTAAGAATGGTATACAGATATTGCATCCCCTAAGCGGATTTGAAAAGATCAAATGGAATTCTGCACCATATTTACCTAATTAGGTATATATGATTTAAGTAGGTTTTACAAAGAAAGTACTTGGTTAAGATGGAACAGTGCATATAATACAGGGTGTTTCAGTTTATAGTTGCATAACTTTAAGATTCGATAGAACCTTTAAAATTAATGCATAAAGTCTATATAAACATGTGTCGAAAAATGCGTGGCTTCCGAAATACAGGGTGTTAAATTTACTTTTTAAAATAGTTTTTTTTAAATATTACGAACAATACTTGATGTATAACAGTGAAAATTGGTATACAAGGGTTTCTTGGTACGACAAAACGAACCATGGGATAGTTTTACTGTAGCCGCTAGAGGGCGCTCTCTACCGTACCTGTAGTGTATTAAAATGACCGACAATTTTTTCTTAGTGCAATCTTTTGCTTTTTGAATAAAAACACTGGTTCTTCGCACTTTTCTGCATAAAAAAGCTCTCCTGTGAGTTTTCGTTATAGTTAGCCGTTTTTGAGATATTTCGATTTTTAAGGATCGATGCATTTTTTATTATTTATGGGAAAATAATATTTTTTTTACATTTTCGATCTGGGCACTACAAGTAATTAAGATGATCGTTTAGATTGTGTTTTTAAACACAGCAATAATTCCTAACTCCAAGTAAACACAAAAAAACAGAATATTAATTTGTATTAATTTTCCAATATTATTTTTACCAAATTAAATTAATTATTTACAACTAAAATGCTATCGGATAGTTAGGACAAACATACAAAATCTAAAGTAGTTCCTCGAAATGTAAACCCAATTGTTCAATACACAATTCACATCTACGAATGATCGAACGTGGTATAGCATTATTCAAATAAGGACTTATTTCATCACATGCATTCCTGATTCTGTCTATTAGCATATCTCTTGTGGTTACGGGAGTCTGGTACACTTTTTCTTTTAGAAATCCCCACAAAAAGAAATCTAATGGATTTAGGTCACGGGATCGTGGAGGCCAGGCGAGTGGTCCTCCACGGCCGATCCATCTTTCTGGATAATTTTCGTCCAGCCAGTTTCTAACCATTCTCGAATAATGAGCTGGACAACCATCAAGCTGGAACCAGGCCAATCTTCTTAAATATAACATAACATCATCCCACATATTTGCATGTTCAGCCTTTAAAAATTCCAAGAAGGTCGTAGCATTTAACCTTGCAGGTAAAAGGTAGGGTCCAAATAGTCGATTACGGTAGATACCAATCCACCCGGTCACACTAAATTCATGCTAAAAATTTCTTTCCCGAATAGTTAAAAATGCATCGAACCTTAAAAATCGAAATATGTATCTCAAAAACGGCTAACTATAACGAAAACTCACAGGAGAGCTTTTTTATGCAGAAAAGTGCGAGGAATAAGTTTTTTTATTCAAAAAGCAAAAAACTGCACTAACAAAAAATTTTCTGTCATTTCAATACACTACAGGTACAGTAGAGAGCTCCCTCTAGCAGCTACAGTAAAACTATGCCCATGGTTCGTTTCAAAAAACCCTTGTATACCAATTTTCACTATTATACATCAAATATTGTTCGAAATATTTAAAAAAAAACTATTTTAGAAAGTAAATTTAAACACCCTGTATTTCGGAAGCCACGCATTTTTCGACCCATGTTTATGCATTAATTTTGAAAGTTCTATCGAATCTTAAAGTTATGCAACAATAAACTGAAACACCCTGTACATATATCAAGCGCTAGACACCACCATGTAAAGTAGACTATCTCCAGAAATAGAGCATGAATAATCAAATCATACTGCTGGCGATTATTATTGTCATAAGCATCACCGTAAGCAATCTGATTGATATTCCAATGAAATGTTCGATTTATAGTGAAAGCTTTCTGCCGGTGACATAAAATTTAATCTAACGAGAAATATATAATTTCCACAATTCGAATTACTGCCAGTCTATTTGTTGTGGAGGAAAGTGAATTTTTTGAACGCCATAAATATCTGCTTTTTATTATACCTCCAGATTACTTTCCATTTTCTTCGGATAACTTTTTCGCAGTATTTACTCTACTTTACTGAAAGAGAAACCGTTATTACGCGTGTAAGCCTTTATGATACTCATTACAAATATATCTAGATGAAAGTAAAATTCAATGATATGAGTTTTTATTATTGCTACGTTGTGCATACCTTTTTGGAATCTATAAAAAAATTAATTTGGGTTCGAATGCTTGTCTTTGAATAACTACACACTGCTTATTCTGAATAGTGAGAGAAACTTGTAATATATTTGAGATCAGCTTTATTTTGGCTTTGGTATACCTAGAATGTAATTCACCTGATCGATTTCGGTCGCCAGGAAGTACTAACGGGTGATTTTTTAAGAGGTATAGGATTTGATTTAAAAAAAACACAAAAAATTTGAAAAAACGATTAAATCTTTATTTGAGTCGATAGAACGGTCGATATAATTTAATGTTTAAAGATTATTTCATGTAAATGTTGGCCGCGTTAGATGGCCCATGCGCAAGGTCCAATTTTGGCACACTCTCTCCAACATATCGGCCGGTATCTCACGAATAAATGCTTCAATATTGGCTTCCAGTGCGTCAATCGTTGCTGGTTTATCCCTGTAGACATTAGCCTTAACATGGCCCCACAAGAAATAGTCCAACGGCGTTAAATAACACGATCTAGGCGGCCAATTGACGGGCCCCAAACGTGAGATAAACTGTTCACCGAACTCGCCTCTCAATAGGGCCATTGTTTCGTGTGCGGTGTGGCATCTGGCACCGTCTTGTTAAAACCACATGTCAGCCAAGTCCAGCTCTTCCATTTTGGGCAAAAAAAAGTTTGTTATCATCGCACGGTAGCGCTCGCCATTCACAGTTACGTTCCGGCCATTGTCGTCTTTGAAGAAGTACGGCCCGGTGATGCCACCGGCCCATAATCCACACCAAACAGTGATTTTTTCAGGATGTATTGGCTCTTGCAATGCTTCTGGCTGGTCTTCACTCCAGATGCGGCAATTTTGCTTGTCAACGTACCCATTCAACCAGAAATATGCTTCGACGCTGAACACAATTTTTCGATAAAAATGTGGATCTTCCTCCAACTTTGCCAGCGCCCATTCACCAAATTGGAAACGTTGTGGGAGGTCGTGTGGCTTCAATTCTTGCACCAGCTGTATCTTATAAGGTTTTAAACCCAAATCCTGTCGCAACATTTTCCACGTAGTGGAGTAACAGAGGCCCAATTGCTGCGAACGGCGGCGAATCGACATTTCACGGTCATCACTAACACTGGCGGATACAGCCGCAATATTTTCTTCAGTCCTCACTCTACGTCTGCGTGTTGGTGGTTTAATGTCCAATAATGTAAACTGGGTTCGAAATTTAGTCACAAGCTTCCGAATAGCTCCATCAGTAGGGCGACCAAATTGCCCATAAATTGGAAGCAGTGCTCTATGCACTCTCTTAACCGAGCAAGAATTTTGATAGTAAAATTCAATAATTTGCAAGCGTTGTTCGTTCGTAAGTCGATTCATGGTTAAATTATAGACCAAACTGAACAAGTTTGACAATGACACAAGACACGATTCACGCATCATCTGTCAAAAACAGTGTTGCCAAAAAGATACTAGCAAAAAAATCACCCATTATAACTACGGAAGATCTCGAAATAGAGATACATATTATGTTTTTTGGATATGATATGTCGCAAAAACCAATACCCCAATTTCCGAGGGATATGACATTCAGTGAAAACAAGAAACGACTTTTTTGAACTTTAAACAATAAAAAAAAATTAATACGACCACAAATGCTCAGCCTCAGTGCCACTCAACATTTACTAGAATAAACATAACAAACGATGTGTATAAAAACAAACACAATGTTATGATATCGAAACTAAAATAATAAGTTTGAAGTTCACACCATGAAAACCTAAGACGAATCATTGCCACATATTTTAGGGAGTCTTGTAATAATAGCTTTGGTAATCGTTAACCTAAAATAAAAAATAACCCTGTCTGACGCTGAAATGGGCACCACAGAGAGAGGTCGGTAAAATTAGGAAAAGTTCCTTCATATATCGAGAGGATTTGCTTTGATATTCGATAATGGTGTCGCAATATGTAGGTCTTGGATGATGCATCTGCCATACATCTTGTTCATCGACAACCGATTATGATTAGCAATTTATATAATCGATTTATTTTTTATGCATTTTTTCGTCGTAACTAGTTAAAAAATACTAGTACTACTCTAAAATAGACGAATATTTCCACGTTTATGGAAAAATTGAATAAGTGATTCTCACTTTCACTCTTCAAATAATCTTTCTTGTAATTTGCTACAAAATGACGTTTCAAGAAAATCAAAGTTTTTTCGAAGAGAAAAAGTTTTAAGAATGAAACTGGTCATCCACTGTAATAATGGAATTTTGACACGCAATTTCAGAGCTGTACTAATAATTGTTAACAAATTACGAATGGAGGAAAAATGCACAATAAAATGTACAAAAAATGCATTTTTTGACAAAAAAACTGGAAACATTGTTTTTTAGTCATCTCTATATGCACCATGAAATAATCAGATGAAAAGGATTTAGAGTACTGCTCCAAGCAGGCAGTTGAAAAAAAATGACATGAGACCATAGAAATCCATTATGATGAAAGAATAATCTATTAGTCTTTTGCATCCCTACATTTTCCATCTGTCCCTCTGTCTGCCACCTGCCCGGTAATCCTTGACTCCTCTACCAAAAGAACGATAAAGCTTTGCGGATCTTGAAAATCCGTCCAGAGAGCGGCGGAGTGCCGAGTGAAGAACACAAACTTTCAAAAAATTCTAAACGTTGTTTTTCGATCGAAACAAGACAGCAAAAAGTATTACCGGAATCGACAACTCCGGAAACGGCAAACTGTCGGATGAAACAGCCGGGTCACCACAATGACCGATAAATGCCGCCGATTCTGGTACTATAGAAGGTACAACCTATTGGCTATTGAACAAACTAGTAATATAGCTAGCAGATGGTTAACCATGGACAGCAGTTAATTGCACGCTCTAGGCTTAGTCTCAGATAAGGATAACGGATGAGAGCAGAGCAACTATCCTCTATCCAGGATATAAGGTTTATCGAAATGAAACAGCATAAAGTACCATTTATTCTGGTAATAGATTATAGTGAATAATAGAAAATTATCTTCAATATGCCAGTCATACGGACCGCAACGCAGCGTTGTGTAGGATGTACAATGTCAACCTACTTGATGCCATTTTTTGCATGCGGGCGCATTGAAAACCAAACACAACGAAAGACGAAAGTCTTCGATGCATGCAACATACAATACAGCTTAAGCTATTGCTGGCGAAGGTACCACTACTTTTCTTCGAGCGGCAATGCTATTGCCGAGTCGTTATGGTAGTATACAACACACAATACGCCTAAGCTTTCGCTCGCATACATCCACCACTTGTTTTCCTCGAACGGTGCTGGCTTGGGTACTGCTGCAGCCGAGCGTACCATTGTGATATCGTGGAACCATGAACGGCACCAGTGGTGCGGCTACGGAGCTTATGCAACCCGCACATCGATCTAATGTCATATTGTTTGCCTGTATGTACACTTCACTAAGTTTATTTTTATTGGCATGGGTGTCCCTGACTGGCAGGAGAACGTTTTTTAAATTTTTGGTTTTGTCAACAAATATGTTTGCTATACGAGTAGGTATATATTTTATCTAGGCTGGACTTCCTAACAATGTTTCAGGAGCTCCTTATTCCGTAAGAGCGCAAACGAATAAACGTCCGGCGGTTCTGAGACAATTGAAGACTACGGGGGGATATGTATAGGGAGAGCGCACATCTCACGATTCAGGTCTAGCAAGATAATTTGCACACCAAATCCAACAGTATATGCCGTTTTTCTTAAAAAGGCAGACTTGTGCGCTTAGGGGGGGGATTATCATCAATCAAGTGTAGGGTATATGAGGGAAGATGGGGAAAATTTCTGCATTTCGTACATTCAGAACAATATTAAAAAAAATACACTATTAGACAATACAGTACAAAATATCTTCGAGAGGGTTGATCGTGGAGTTGATTCACTACCGTTCGTGGCAGTTTTTTGAATGTTCCATCGATGCCATTCGGGAGAAATTTGCATGCGTTTTACATTGATTAACAATGCAAAGGAAAAAATGGCGTAACTAGGTTGACTCTACACAACGCCATCTTCAGTTCATAAAGGAATACTTTCAGCAAAAGTTAGGCCGCATCGAAATAAGACTATCTTGTATAGATAACAGTTGCAATGCTTTCGTTCGTTTCCCAGAGACAAAGCCTAGACCATGCAGATCAGTTGCCAATAAAGCATGAAACAGATGAATGTGGTTGGCTGTCTTTGGTTGGACGGCCAAAAGCAGCACCTTTAAGTTGGATCCTTTAAGAAAAAAGTTACGAACATTTCTAACGCAAGAATTAAATGGATCAAGTCCGTCGAAAAAGTCCGCATAATTAATCCATAACATCATTTCCCTGCCGTAACTGTAATGTCGTCACACGCAGCAGAACGCCAGTCATACAGGACACATAAGAACACCGGCACGAAGGCCGAGGATGTTGAAGTCAGCAGACGCAGGGACGCTTGTTGATAATATTGTTTACAGTTCTAAATGCAATGGAGAAGTGAGACAAACCTATCGATAAAAGCAGAACAAACCTAACGAAAAACCTGGGATAAATCTAACGGAGAAGTATGACAAACCTAACGAAAAAAGTGAGACAAACGTAACGAAAAAAATTGGGACAAGGCTAACGAACAACCTGGGATAAACCTAACGGAGAAATGAAACAAACCTAAAAAAACAAAGTAGGACAAAACTAACGAAAAAAAGTAGAACAAACCCAACAAGAAAAGTGGGACAAGCCCAACAAAAAAGTGTCTAATAGGTACGTAGAATTATCGGGGTTGGAAGTGCATTAATATTCTAACATACAAAAACTGCGGTACTTTTCAAATTATAGATGGGCTAAGGAGCGAACAGACCAACAGACCGACGGAAATGAGTGACATGGTTTTTCGTGATGTACATGTCATATAACAACCAAAAAATATAATATTTCACTTTCTCATTTTTTTGCGATTACAATACTTGCTCGGCAGTAAAAATAGCCTTACGAAATAATCTTTTCCCTATTCTCAGCAAAACAAAGGCACTGAAAACTAATATTTGAGGTCAGGTATTAAGATCCTCTAATACAAAGAAAGCTCTGCTTTTCAAATACATTGAGGTTAGCGAACATCCTAGAACCCATGTCCAGAAGAATAGTTCTGTATGGCACACTTTCTAGCTCAGAAATATCCTCATAGTTTCTTTTGAATCATGCTCTGTGGTAAATCAATATCCTCAATGCCATTTCTTATTGATTGCAGATACGGTCGCCTGAACGTGCTGCGCTGGCTTCTGTGGGAGGGGGAGCGGTGCGCGGACGAAATGCCGGCACTGGACCATCGGCCACCTCCAGACAGTGGAGGAGGTCACGGAGGGGCTGCTACCACTCTGGCGCTTCACTATGCCGCTGCGAGAGGCTGTTTGGACTGCGTCAAGTTGCTGGTGGATAGCACGCCCGATTTGAGGTAAGTTTATCATCTGATTACATCTAAAGACAGAATTAAGGTTTTTGTTTGAAAAACCAAGAGGAGAAGTGGAGTATAGCTCATTGTCCTCCAAAAAAAATACCTCCGAAATTTCTCGTCCAACTATTTGGCTCCTGCTAAAGAAATGATGTTCTACCGAGGAACAAAATCGCTTGTATATGTATACTATGAAACTAGGGATACCTACTACTACCACTATAACCAAAAGCTTAATGGTAGATGCTGCGTTACTTAATATATGTAGTCTTCTAAAAAATGAGTTGTGAGGAGTATCGAATTGAATTACTTCATTCCCTGACCTTTATATGAAAAAGTCGTTGTGATTGGGAATTATTCTCACTCAATTGGTTTGCTTTTCTACACCATGCAAATCCGTCAGTCCAACTATGAATATCCTGTGGCTCATTATCAATACTCTTTGTGTTACAGATCTCCTTAATTAAAACCTTTTTTGTGACCTCTTTGACCCTATTTTAAGCATCCACGGTAGATATTGTGTGAGGACCAATAATCTGTTCAGAGTTTGTAAGCGTGCCTGTTTTTCACAATCTACTTAAATCAATTTTTCTTATGCCGATTTCTAAGTACTTACTCAAATTAAAATCTGCACTTCCCCGTTTACCTCCTTTGTATTTTTATGAATTTAAAATTTTCTTGGAACAATAAATCAAACCTCACTCATTAATGTGTACAAAGCTTTCTAAAAATGCTATGAAATATTTTAATTATATCCTATTAGAAGTGAAAGGTTTATGATCATATTCAATGGTCAGTGTTTAGCTGCTACTAAACATTTTTATAACCGGTAGCTATAAGTTGAGGAGTAATAACGAATCTACCCTATTGAAACACGCATACTATAAGAGGCGCTTTGTCGTTTGCAGAATATTTAGAGAAAGAAGGTAATTTCAATCAAGGCTTGTATCGATTCTATAAAAGTCCTCCTTTTTCCGAATCATATGGTATTTATTTATTCTAAATTATAATTTTTGGTCTCCCCAAAAATTGTATACCAGAATAAGTATACACTTGACTTTTTTTTTTAATAAGTTGTTTTGTATGTAAAACCATCCTATATAAATAATGCACAAAATTAAAAAAAGGTTCAAATGTCAAGAAAAGATGTGATATGAAGGTTATTTTAATGGAAATTTTGCTCTATTTGCAACACTAACAAACTGTCAAAGTTGATCGTCAAACTATATTTGAGCAAATTTCCCCGAAATGATTGCAGCGTGTAAGGTATTATTGATGCAACTTATAGTTTGCGAAATGGTTTGTTATCCATATTATGGGTGAGATAAATTCAAGTGTATTGTATTGTATCTTAGCACAAAAAATCCTAAATTCTTCATTGTATCTATTTTCCAAAGCAGTCAGCAACAAAATCAAATTGTGCTTAAGTTATTTTCTTTACAAAAAGACAACTTCAATGATATCATTTTCCAAAGTGTTATAATTAAGATCAATTCAGAAGTTGTCCTAGTCATACAAAAATAATTTTAACCATTTTTCATCATACCGACACGATCATAGACATAAGCATAAGAGTTGAAATATAGGTAGGTACCTACTGTTTGACAACGTATGACCGAACTCAAACTGTGACCTACCCCATTATAATGGGTGTCAATCTTTAGGTAATCACATTCTTGCCAGAATTTTTTTAGCGAATCCACTCGCGATATATCTTTTAACAAAGTAAATTTGATATAAAATACTTTTCACCCATTGCACAGATACTGGATTAGCCTTCAGTTGGTCGGTTACAGCCATGTGAATGTTTTCGACTGTCCCAAAATGCGTTCCCTTGAGATGAGTTTTCAACTCCGGGAATAGAAAAAAGTCACAAGGACTCAAGTCAGGCGAATAAGGAGGCTGACGAGCCACCGGAATACTTTTACTGGCCAAAAACTCGTTTATCGTCCTTGGTGTGTGACAAGGAGCATTATCGTAATGCAACACCCAGTTGTTCTTGATCTGATGAACGGTGGTGTGCGTCAAATTTAATTCTTCCTCGATCATTCTGACTGTCAACCGACGATCTGAACGCACAAGATCCCTGATTCTGTTGATATTTTTATCGGTTCAGGAAGGTGAAGGCCTTCCGCTGAGTAGTTCATCTTCAATCGATTATCTCCTTTCTAAAAATGCCTTAATCGCTTAAACCACCGAATAACCTGGACTCTTGACAAAACACTATCTCCGCAAGCCTCTTTAGCAAGAGCTTCCGTTGCACTGTGCCGAAATCTGAAGCAAAACCTGACAGCACGCCGTTGCTTGAAATTTATGTCATTAATTTTAACAACAAAATAGGAAAACCTGTTTGACGCAAAAGTCACTACGGACAACCAAGTGACTCGTAACGAGTTCAAACTTATACTAAGGGTGGATCACATTTTCCTCTGTCTCCCCTCCAAGCCCGGCGCCTCCAGTGTTGCCAGGTCGAACGAAACGTTGCCAGCCACATCACTTATACAGACCTTGTATTGTTAGCGCATGGTAAATACTAAGTCAAAATACATCAATCTAGTTTGCAATAATCGAGAAGCTTTCAAATGAAGTAAAAAAACAACTATGCTCATCCTGGATGATGACGATAATGGTGGTCATCAAACCAAACAAGAATAAGATGGGAGTGAATATTAGTGAGTGTATTTCGCACGAAGATATGATATCAACAAGCGAAGAGTCATGCTCCAAATGTTGATACCTCCTACTCGAAATTAAGCATTGTTCTTTCTCAGCCATCCTCACTTGTGTAGGCACGTGCCCGTATGCCTTTAATGTGCACTTTCTTTTTCAGTCTGCAATTATATGCCTATTTAGCACTATCTGCATATCTTGAAAGAGAATGTTTGGTTTTACTGTGACCTGCCAAGAAATGTAAAGCAGTATAATTTTTCGAAGTTGAGGGCAACAATTTCCTTTCATTATTTCGAAATAGGCTTCTCTGTAAAACACATGATTTGCGTATATCTGCACATTTATATTCTGATTTGTTTTTTTGAGGATTAAATTACGCTATGCATAAACATGTTATATACTCGTATTTGCGATACAGTTTAGATATTTCAAATAATATGTAAATGGTTAAATAAATGCGAAGGTAGACTCATTTTCAGAGTGAATGGCTGGGAGCTCGGACCGGTGGTTACTTTTTGAAATGCCATGTATGACTTTACGACCAGTTTCAGTTTTGCATATAAGGATTTTATCAAATCGACCCTACGTTACACATTAGTGGTGATCGAGCTACCGTTTTTTTTTTAAATTGAACTCAGTTAATGAACAGATCTATTTAAGGCGTTAAGTTACGTTCACCAATTTATCGAAAACTGTTATTTATAACGCATATTATGCATTCCTCAAACCACATTGCTTTTCATTACTTGGCTACATAAATAAGAGATTTATTGCCACAAAAAAAATCAAATATTTAGTTTAGTCTTTATGTTCACGCTATACAAAACAACAGTTTAATATTTTTTAACTTTGTAATACTCAGTGACACATTTCAAAATCTGTGATAGCTTTGAAAACTATCATCCCAATCGCTTGGTAGTTTTCCCTTGTAGGAGGTATGTTAGTTTTACGCTGAAAGAGCCAAAGCCACATGTTCCATACAATTAGAGCTTTTGAAGTAGTATTATTTGAGCAAATATATTATTTCGCTTTATTTCCCCCATCAATTAGCGAAGAAGTATTGTAATTGAAAGCAATTCAAAAATGATATTTTTTTTAACCACGTTTATTATTTTCGTCAGTCTGTCTGTCTGGTGTAGGGCATGTCTCAATTATTTGCCGTTAGTGTTTTATACACCTCTAACTCGATAATTCTACGCACCTGTTGGATATATGTCACTCATGCATTTGCTTGTAAATGGCAAACGGAAATAGGAGATAAACGTGTAATGACGATATGTCTCTCTTATTTTTGTTAAGAAGCACCAAAGTATCAGGATATTCTAAAAAAACAAAAGCGAAAGATAGGATTTTCTTAGAACTTTAATTGACAAAAAGCATACTACTAGAAGCTCAAGAAGCACCAATAAAGGAATATGGGGTCATTCTAAAACTCCTCGGTTTCGATTCATAATTGCCGTCATTGGACCTATTTTCAAAACAGATTTTCTTATCGTGATGGTCACTTTGTGTCCAGGATTCTTCATATGATAATTAGGCATTACTTTTCGAGTTATATAGAGCCCAAATATTACTGTATCGACAGCAGACAGATGGGCAGACAAACATACAGCTTGATGGAAATGGTAACAGTTTTTGATGTAACATTCAAAAAACATATCTCAGAATCTTTTTTTTCGATTTACGCAATCTATTTTCAAGACACAAACGTATTCGATTTTTTAAATAGCTTCATCCTCCCAAATAAATGACTACGCCTAAGAATCATGACACATACAAAAACGAAGTTTGGTGACATTTTGAATTTGCCACGTTTATAACTTCGGCGCCACTGACCGATACCCAAAAATTACTGAGCTGATTCATCCTTGCTAGTGACCTTTGGGTCAATAGAGGTTTCTTTAACCTATGACTGAATCCCCGATTTAAATGCCAAGTGCTCAAAAATAAGACGAAATTTCCAAAATAATACCTGATTATCTTCCCCTTCTTTCAGTTTTTCTCAACAGCATAGCAGGGGCTCCGGATTTGGCAATGCCTTGCGGCCCCTTCAGCTGTACGGCCCCAGATGCTATGAGCCTGAGGGCTCCTAAGTGACTTTAGACGGCATTGCAAAGGAGTCAGGTACAGTCGCTAATCCAAACACCCATCGCCTAATAATACCGGAGATTTGTAGCTTTAAAATGAAAAAATGAGTATTCCGTTCTTCTCACTATTAAAGTCATTTTATAAGTTTCAATCGGGATTAGAACCATGGCAAGGAAATTGCTCTTTATTATAGAGATTAACTCATAAAATTTGACAGTTATAGGTATTGGAACTCGCTTATTATTTATTTATCTGTTCATATACTTTACGATGGCATTGTGCGTGTGAAATCTGGTACAAATAAGAAAAAATATCTGTTGAACAAGGCGACATAGAATGAAAGCACATACACCAACTGCCGTTCTTGTGATGGTCGGTACTCGTTTGGCCTGTTTCCAACATCTAGGCCGAAAAGTGTATCCATGGTATAGTCGTCTTGTTTTCATATAGCTGCTTTCTCGATTTATTTTGGATACATTTTTTGGTTATACAAAGATTATTTAGTATGTATTACGAGAAATTTTTTGGTAAATATGCCCACAGTGTTTCAAAATATGTCACGTATGACCAAATATTCCAATGGGCCCAAATTTGGCTATGCTTTTTATTTGAGCCTACGGCATGTTAAAGGTTAGTGTCCTGACCGGTGTCAAGTTAGTAGGCATTATTTAATAGCCTGAATAATTAACAATCACTGTCAAAAAGACATTATATGAAAAAGAAGGCATGCATTTCATGAATACCTGCTAATAATAGATCACTTTTGAATTCGTACACATCAAACAGGGTCCAAAACAACCGTAAAATTCAAAATCTGGAAGAAAATGGTGACAACGAACAATTTATATTGCACTTTCAACACGTAAGAAACGGCTCTACTACTATACCCTTTCTCCATTTCTGTTGGTGTTAGTGTAAATGATCAGTCGATGCCGAGATAGAAAAAACACATAAACACAAACAGTCCGACAGACACAGAATTCTTTCCTCTTCACTTCTCTTTTCTTCGGTTCCTTTCCCCTTAATGGACGTGCACCTTTAGTTTTTTTCTCATAATTCCATGTTCACTGCAGCGCTTTTCCAAAAATCAATTGTCTACTACTATCCCTGATTGTATCGCTCATCGAGTTTAATCAAAACTATTTCAACCAATAAATTCAGACTAGGTAGAAGGAACCAGTCAAAGATTTGGTTATCTTCTAATTGTTATAGTCTCTAGAGAGAATCAAAGTTTTCTTGACATAAGTAAATTTTTGATAGTTTTATCATTAAATTCTGCACAAGTATAATGAAAGTAGATGTTTCCACCGGTAGGTATTATTATTTTTTTACAACGTTGTCACTTTGGTAAGCTTCGGTAGTCAAATGAACCGAAAGTATGCACTAAAAGAGGTAATGTTAGTGATAAACAATGCACTGTAAGTTATTGCAAAATTATTGCGGTTAAAAAAACTATTCTTAGTTTTACATAGAATACTTTGTGATAATTAGATTTATAACAACAAGATTTAACAAAAATATGGGATAATTGTTCCAAAATTTGTAAATGGCTCATATAAAATTATTTATTTTTGTAGTGCTTTATATTGTTCGGTCTTGTTGTTCCTAAGAGGAGCAAACATTGTCTGTCGAAACATTAGAAATGCTGTAAATGTGCTTCGTGATAATTCTACAGTGAAAGGAAATATATAGGCTTTTCAAATTCTTACGAATAAATAAGGGAATGTGACTTTTAGTGGATATGCAGAAAGTGTGCAAAATATTTACATTTACATACTATAAAATCTCCAATTAGCACCGAACGTACGTACATAGGTAATTCATCAAGAATTAATATTTAAATTAGTTGTATGCATGGGAGCCTATACTTTGTATGCTTTCACTACCAGTAAAACACGTGTTTTGCGTTTCGATTTTATCTAAGAATGTTAAGGTACAGTGAGATAACGATCTGATGTATATAATATAGGACTTTTTATTCTTTTTAATTTTTCGCGCCTACTGTCGAAGAAATAATGTAGTCGCGAAAATTTTTCGGAAATGAGATATTATGATTCTTGTGTGGTATAGGTATGACATGTACATCACGAAAAACCATCTCACTCATCTCCGTCGGTCTATAGGTATTTCGGTCTATCTGTCTGTTAATCCTTGGCCCGTCTATAACTTTGTAGTCTTTGAAAATTGGTCCAGTGGTAGAAGAGAAAAAGGCCAAAGATGAAAATCTCTCAAACTTCATCTTTTGACGTTTCAGAGGGTACTGATCATTTTTGAAAAACATTTTAGGAGTGACAAATGAGGAGGTGGTGGATTGTAAGGTGGTGGAGGAGGATGAATCTCAATTTTTCGATGTTAGTATATTTATATGCTCCTAACCGCAGTAGCATCTATTAGACATATCTCACACATAGCTTTCGCCGTATATTTGCCCTTAACGAATGACAGAAATATTTTCGACATCCGTCTGTTTCTGCTCCCGGCGTCGTAGTGGTCTTGGTAAGTGTTCTAGTATTACTGCCGCGCTGCCGCGTCTGACTGGGTTTCGCCAGTTCAGGAAAATAATGTCTATTGACTAATTTTATGGACCTGTTTGATTGACTTATCTGTATAATTTCTATGTTGTACATTTTCGCAACTAACAAAGGCTCTAACTGGTGCTGAACATAATAATTTATAAGCTGATGGCGACGTTGAGAGGAAAGTACAGAGTCAACCTAACGCCACTTGTTAAACTAACCTATTCATTTATATACTTTTAGCTTGCGGTTTCTTTTTCACCAAAAATACGAAATACGCAAAACACATTACCAAGAAATCAGCTTGGTAATGAATGATGCGTCCGTGTCCAGGTGACAGTTTTTTGACTACTAGTAGGTGCTGCATGTACTTTGTTCCTGAATCCTAAATACGAGAAATATGTTGCTGAGTTCATTCATAATCTGTTATTTTACTGAGAGAGTCGAGGAAGGTGGATGGGGAAACCCCCACAGAAGGTTTCAAAAGTTTTATTGAATGTTCTTCAATTATCTCTCTTGTATTAGTATTCGTCTCCTCTGGAATTTTCAACATACTACACATACTATAGATAGTGTAAGCAACTTCTACCAATAAATATAGTGTACAGTAGATGATGATATTAAGAGCCCGATAAATCCTTTCGACACGGACCATATGCACGTCAACATAACTTGAAGTCCTGTGTGAAGTGCAACGAGCACAAACGGTGCAAACCGAGTCAATGCTAAGTACCTGTAAGTGTCCATATTGTGATGCTTACTAAAATGACGTAATTGACACAATATAACCCAGAGGTAGTGAGATAAGACCTTCCCGAATATGAATCGGTATGGGTTAAATTACTTAACAGCAGCAAATGGCAAGGAACTATTCGTAAAACAATATGAAAGAGATATTTGTTTTATGGAGTTTGTATGACGTAAACATCACGATCAAATAAGTAAAATTAAAAAAAAAATGACCAGGGAGGAGCTGGAAGTTTGAAATTTAAGGAATCCAAAATGTCGCAATCGAAAGCTAGTCTGCAATCTACAACTAACAATTATGAGAGTATATGAATACGTACTCGTATTCCTCTCGGTATTACTGCAAGACTTATGGCAGATATGGAGATTAATCTGATGATCATTATATTTTAGGAGTATTGTGTAGATGTTTGGATGATAGGCTTCCGTAAAGTATAAAGTTTGATGGCTTAATCTAACTTATATTTCGTGTTACAAAATTTATGATGAAGAAATGAAAGTAAGCTATCATCACTAGCGATAAAATCAGCAGATACTCTCTATATTATATAGTCGGAAATCAAATACTGTACTTTATCAGCCTTATTCGAGTAAGATTAAGATCTGTGCTGCATATATGCATTAAAAATGTGACATACACATCAAGACAAAAGTTTCTGCTTGTTTCAGTGGATGTCTTATTTCGATTTATAGTAGAAGGTATTTCATTATTTACAACATGGATTATAATTCACAATGTCAAGTTCATAATTTTACTGAGAGCAACACGTTTTCACGATACGTTTAAATCTAACTTTAGCAAATCCTCTACATTACCGGATACTAGAATTACTGCAAAAAATATATTTTTCTCTTATCTTTGTTGAGTTTTGCCTCATTTTTGGGCACCAACAACTTTTCAGAAATTGTATGCATCTTCAAGTCCTTTATTTTAGGATATCATGAGAAATTGTCACTAACATTGGCCGCAATAAATATCTTAAATTTGAATTGAATTATATTCAATTTATTAAATAGATTTTTAAACCAATCATTTATTTAGCGGTGGATTAACGAACTAGAAATTCATGTATAATTTTTTCCGATTGGCAAATGCCGCCTTGCACATCCTAATCTCTATTGAAACTTCTTCGTCTCAAGTTTTTAAATGGAAGTGTGTTACATCCACTTTCCTTCTTGCTGTCAATAACAACCTTTTATTAGAATACTTGAGACTAAAGAGCTTTAATTTAGAGTAAGTATAAACCTGCATATTTCCAAATCAGAAAAAATATTTTTGAATGTCTAAAATTCGTTTTATCAACAGCTTAATAAAAATATATTTTTGAAAATGCGTCTTTTTCTTTGTTTAGTTTTTTTCATTTTTAGTATTTATGTCAAATAACTTAATACTTAAAATCTTGAGATGAAGGAGCTACAAAAGGTTAGAAACTGTAAAACGGCTTATTTCCAACCGAAATTAATTATTATTTCTGAATTTTGAGTTCGCTGTATGAACTGCTAGATAAAAATGTTTTTGAAACTGTATTTGTTTACGTATATATTACTGATTTGGTACTTTTTAGTATTTATGTCAAATGACTGAGGTTTTACCTCACCTTAGCTTGGGTGTATGGATTTACGCTGTTTATTTCAGGCTGGACCTTATTGCGCCACATGTGTCCCTTATTACAGGTTGAAACTTATTTGCGAATAAGGAAACCTAGTCTCGGTTTGATTTTGGAGTTTTTCTTCTACTAGATTGGTTGCAGACCAATGCTGACGACGCCATGTCACCAACTGATTTGCGGTACAGCTATTTATTTTGTAACCGCCCATTGTATACCTCGATAAATCGCCATGTGTCTCATTGAATCTCATCCTGCGGATAGTACTCAACTCATGAAACCCTTTTACCCAAATTACAGGGCGTTATTATATTATTATTAATGATAGATCGCCATTTTGTAGCATCCGCCATATTGGATTGAAAATGGCGATATTAAATTAATTAATGAAAATGTCAGTTCAATTGGATAATTGTAACTTGTTCAAAATTCAGTTTTAAAAACATTTATACAACCTGATACTTGTTCATCGTTATGAAAGCGGTGAGCGTTTCTGAGAACAAGAATAGTCTTGTCGATGCTGCATAGTTATTTATGCCTATCTACTTCTGGATGGTAGTATAGGCAATATAAAATTGTACGTTGTTATTATAAATTCGGTTCTTCGTAAAATTGCGGTTTGCTGGATAAACCAGTAAGTAATTGGTTACTTTTACTTGGATTAAACTATGATGTGAATAATTCTGTATCGCAACTTGAAAATAAGCATTATTAAGCTTTAAACGCTGTACACAACTGTCACAACTTAATAGTTAGATGTGGGTATTTAACAGATCTGAATATGTATAATAGACGCCAAACGCAAACGGAAACTGCTAAGCTGCTGCTATTAGTGACACCTTATCGCAACATTGCCGTTTTGAGGCAATTTGCATCTTGAATATTTTTGTAGATTTACCTAGTCTTTCTAGGTCAGGTGCAGAATGGATGTGCTTTTCAATAAATTGTGTAACAGTTTCGGTTTTTTAACATTCGGTCATTAACAAGAAGCAGTATATGTCTGTTGCCCCGTAATTTAAGCAAACTTTGCATAGATATAGATGTTTGGAGAACGATCTTCGCAATGCATTATTGCTATATACATAGGTTAACGAAACACCGTGGGGTTGTTGATTAACTGCATCTTACTTTGTACTTTAAAATACCAATGAGGTGACCAAAGCATCAGTAAAGTGTTTTCCAAACGTCTATGAAAGAAACATGCCGTTGAGACTGACGGGTGTGTCCTAAATACGGCAACATTGAAAAAGCAATTCTTTGGAGCGTTGTAAGGCCATTTTGACAGCCGATTTTCTCAAAACCGCTTCGTTTCTAATATATGAGGTAAAAGAGGTTTTTAATAAATATCAACATTTCGATACCCATGTAAACGTAATTGAAAATTTTTACTGTCTCTTCATCTAAAATAGTTTAAATACTCAAGGGCCATTATAACTACCCTCACTTTATTTTAGGGATGTCACCTACAGTTGTTGTAGTACTGGTCTTCTAAGCATTTTATAGTAAATTTGCTTTATAGGACAGCGTTTGAAAGGTTTTTTACTTTGTATTTACAGAAAATTTGGATTATTTCAATTAGGTACCTGCGAAACAGCAGAATGTATTCGACATATGGCGTATATTTAGTGTCATCAGAAAAAAAAATGAATAGTGGGTCATAATTGGCTGTGCAACAGTAATAGAATGATAAAAAAAGATAAAACTTCATTGTCGACAAAGCAAAAATGAAAGCTATGTCACCTACAAGTGAGTCTGGGGATTCCAGGGTTAAAAAATCGCAGGTGAAACTTCTTATTTTGTTCTTTACAAAGTACAGTATAATCAACTACCTCAAGCTCATCATAGACTGCAAAACTTTTTCAAGCAAATAAGCCAAGTGACAATACTCAATACACTATATTCCCGCGTCCAAAAAATTATCCGAGATGAAATGAGAAACGGTAGCATCATCTAAGAGAATTTGACACAGCTATTTTTCTCCTCTCCGCACTAATTAGAAATCTACTTTGAAACGGTTGATGTCTTCAAAATGGTACTGCAGCCATGCTGTATGCTAATACAGTTTGGTTGACCAAGGCCTGACCTACAGTCTGCAGGTGTGTAGTGTCAGTCCTAATGCCCCTTCACGGCACCATTAGAATAGCTCAGAGTCAGGCTCCAGTTACTGACATGGCAGTCAATGTGTTAAAAGTCGTGGGTGACTTAGGAGTGAGGTTTTGTGATTCTGAGAGCACATCATTTTTGGAAATGTAGATCTTAATGTTTGGGCAGTGCAGAGTCAAACTATTCTATATCATACTATTAGTTAAGATATTTGTGTAACTTTATGACAATTCTTATGCAATCCTCATAGCTCTCCAAACTTCCTCAATGACCTGGGTTGTTGATTAAATATAACATGTATATGCAATATGTTCTTGTAGAAAGCAGATATTATTTATTTATAAATCTTTCTTCTGTTGCGTGTGATATAATTACTTAAGCGCCTGTATACTACTTGTGTCAGTATAATAATGCCATCAAGCGAATGGCACGATAACTGAGATTATGTCCATTAAGTGATGATAAATAGCGAAACATTGCTGTAGGCTTGCAGTGTGGCACACGAATTCTCTTTTTATTAAGAAAACGGTGACAAGTAGGTTACCTTTCTATTTTTTAGTTTGTAATTGACCCTAAAATTTTGTAATCATAGATAATTTTTGATTAGAAATGAAATTTCCCGTGGTTATCTCTACGATCCATTTCCTGTATAGAGTCATTTAGGTAACAGGACAGAATGCATTTCCAAAAGGCATAGAAAATTTATATACATGGATTCAAAAGTTTTTTACTATTAATATCCATTTTTATATGAACTGTCTATTTTGATGTAGTTTTGTTAGAGTGATTTAAATTACGGTCCACAATAAAATTCGTATTTTTTTATAGCATTGTAAAGTTTGACGCTGCAAACTCTATGTACTATATGCAGGAAAGTAACGCCATCTATCACAATATAATTTGATCTAACGAATATGATAATGACAATATATCTTATCATAGCACCTTTTTATGTTATATTCGGATGTATGTATTTTCTGCTCTAGATTCTTTTGAAAGAAAAATATTTTCCATGCATATTCATGTTCTTAAGAATAGGGCGAAGCTTGAAGTGACAATTCTGCGGATTATTTTAAATGTATATTGGCCTTTGTCGGAAAAATGTTCCGTTTCGAGGATATTAAAAAAAAATAATTCCTTTATTTGCAAAAATCACCTGTAAAGCTTCTTGATGTTCAGAGACTGCTCGTAATGGACCCACTGGAGTAATTCAAACTAAGTCGCCGATGACCCTGTAGGAGAGATTCTAGAGAGCTTAAGTGCGGAGATCGAGCAGATTCTTAGTGAGATGTTCCTCGACCCATGATCTCGGTATATTTCTATTCTGTCTAACGATGAATCATCTGAAGTAGAGGAACATAATTTATTTTTAATAAGAAATACTCCTACTGTATCCGAAAGGATTTGGCGGTCTATGATGAAGTGATTGAAATTTTGCATTCAACTTATACCTAGTAATTTATATAGTTTCTTTTTTCTTTAATTGTTGCTAATGTTACCTTCGGAAGTTTTCTCCGCCCTGTATCAACCCTTGAATTTTCACCGCTTCCAGCTTGTATAGTATCTTAAAACAATGGGTGTAATAATGACCACGAAATATGTATCAAATAGCCGCTGACTAAAAGCGCGATTAGATCCAAGACTATCGAAGCGTCCAGAAATAGTTCTTCAGATGGAAATGATTGTAAAATTTGAAAAACTAATTCTTGTTTTCTATCCAAAATACTTCACCTGTTTGTAAGCAGACATTGTGGGATCAGTTAGTTCAATCACCGGTGTAGTTTCTTTTGAAGTACTATATGCCACAAGCCTGGAGGAATCACAGATGACGCAATTTTAATTTTGTTGAAAGGTTCAACAAGTACAAGCATCGTACTACAATATACTTCGTTGTTGGCTAAATCATTGAACACGCGAGTGGCAAGGGCATAGTGGCAGCAGAAGGGTAGAGAGACAGGCAACTCGTTAATGCCCACAATTATTTTTTCTAGCTTTCTACTCAGTCTTTTAAAAAGTTATCACGAATTGGTTGCAATTTAATCGAGTATCATAGTTTTAACAGAATTATAGTTTTGAGGTAGTCTTTTTGGTGTAGGTAGGATATATTATACACAGCAGTATAAGGAAACAACTAAACAATATTGTCAAAAACAATTGTTTGGACGTGAGACTACATTGCATTTTATACAGGAAATTTTGAAAATTTTTCCACATCCACGCTGCGTCTCCTGACTGTTTGGTGGAAACACAACTTCACAAAGACTATCTGGTCTCCTGTAAAGGCTGTTGAAAGCTTGGATGTCACTAAGTGGTGCAGAAAAGAGATCTTCCTTGAAGGCCTCAGCAAATGTTTCTGTGGTGTGACTATCGCCATTGGTGTCGCTTCCTTTTGTTATAATTGTGTAGTGACTATCTCTATTCTCTTTTTTCAATCTTTAGAGGAGAACCTTCTCTACTTGATCTGATCTTACCGTACCCATACAATATCAGATGTTAGAGATTCTAATAGAAGAATAGAAGTAAAATATTTGTCTAGGAAAAAGGTACAATTTTATCAAAAAAAAAAAAGAAAATCGAATTTTGATTGGAGATTTCTCTTTATCCTTGTTAACAGCAAAAATACCTACTTTCTGATAAAGTAGGGGGAACTTAATGCAACTTCTAAGCTCTCTGCACCCCGAAACTGCTCACGCGCTTCATATTCTGAGTCCAGACCTGTGGAAGTAGTTCATAAGCTCCACTAAGTCCTTGGGATCCTCTGGATTATACAACGTTTTACGTAAAGATGATTTAATTTGAAGTTATAACTACTGTGGCTTGGTGTATGATATACTGTACGTGACAAAGGAGCTCTTAAAGGAATGGTAAATTCAAATTTTTAAATTCGTCAATAACATAAATATTCTAAGCAACCTCCAAGGCACAGGAATAAACATCAGAAGGAATAAGTTTGAAGTAAATAATGACTCATGCCGATGGTCAATATAACTCTACGGTTCTTATAACAACTCTCAAGGTGGAATGAATCACAATATAACTTAATGGCTACGTTGTATCATCAATGTTGAACCCATCTACACTTAAAAATCTGCACAAATGCTTGGTATGCCACTAACGCAGGAAATAATATAGCCTCAATCGACTACGTAAGATAAGTCATACGCTGGGAACTTATGCTTTGAAATTGCATTGTTGTCATCTCAAATCAGATCACAACAATTTTGGTCAACATAAAATCGCTCCATCTCCACAAATCATGTCATCATCAAGATCTATTTGCGTCAAAAACCATGAATGAAAGCTTTTTTAGGACAACTATAATGTCAATCAGTATGAGAAAGGATTACGCAACGCAGTCGTACCGTCCTAATTCAAATGCTCCACAATTTCGGCAGACATAACGCTACTGCATCTCCCTCCATGACGTAGACGCATGCAAGAAGTCGCGCAAACTACAGGTAGCACCCGGTAGAGCCACTCTTCGCACCGGTACCGTACACTAACCGTACCGCTTCGGCCGAAAGCAAGCAGTACCGAGCGACGGCGACGCCGGCGGCAACGCGTCTTCGCATTGCGCTACATCGCGAAAAATGGAGGTTATGTCCTTCCGATTCGGGGTGCTACTTGTGTGACAGTTGAGGGTGCGAACGATGGCTGCCGTGCAACAGAGGGCGGGGAGTAATAGGAGGAAACATCGGAGTAATTGCGCTCTCAGGATAAGGTAATCTTAAATAACGAGTTATTTTGCGTTGACTTCTTCCAGATTGCTTATCAGATGCCAAACTGGTTCAGCTCGATCAAAGAGGGTTAATAATTTGGACTAAATGTAATTTGGTTGTATTGGATGTAAATAAGCAAAATCAGTTCGGGTAGTATCTACTGGAAAAAACTAAGCCGATTCCAACCTAAACGGAGAGAGCCTCATTTTTGAAGTGTCTTAATTTTTCTGAAGGTTTTTAGCAATTTCTGAAGACTGAAGGATGATTGAGCAGCCACGGATTCTTGTTCTGAAGACAAAAATGCCCAGGAAATCATATGTCCCATGTAAAGTAAAGATATCCGTTTTCTTGTAGGCCTGTAGTAAGTCTACCCCTTGCTTTTTTACCCCCTGTACTCTATTCAAAAGGGACGAAGAGACAAAAATCGATGGATAACAGTTAAAATAATTGAAGTACGCTCAGTGTTATGTTATAAACAAAATATTAGATTTCCAGTAACGAATGGTTCCAAAACGTTTTTATTAGGTGATGACATTTTCACTATTTTAAGGGGTGACTGGGAGACACTAGGAGGAGTGAGGGTGGTCCGTTTAGTCTGAAACTTAGCTTTTATCATCTAAATTGAATTTAGGCCGAAAACCGGCTTCATCGACCTTCTCCATTTTCTTCTCCATTCTGCCTCTTTTAGTTAGTAGTCTGGTTAATTGTACATCATCCATCAGGCAATTTTTCTCCACATATATTATTCCATAGCGGAGCAACATAAAATTTTTGGTTATTCAGGAGTTGTAATCATCGATTTATCGATGAGCAATGCCGCTTGACGACCGTTTGGATGGAATGAGGAAATTCTTCAACTTTACCGAATTTGTTTTGATTTTGTTTGTGTTCCGTACGCTAGGCAGAACTTGAGTCTATCTTGTTTAAGAGTCACAATGCGTCATTTCCCTATGGATTGAATGCGATTTGAAAGTTTGTTTAAGCTTTTCTACTGAAGAGATATGTAATATTATGTATTCTTGGATTCTACAACTTAAAAGGCTGACACTGAATTTATGCGTCAATGCCAAGCGCGAGTGTTGCAGATGCTCCCAATAACCACTGTATGTGGTACAGAAATTACCATTATTGTCGTATTAAGCGTTCATCAAAAAATACACACTAACGATGAGTTTTATATGAGTCTTCTCTTCATTACACAGCCATTAATTTTTATGAATGGTCTTGAAAGCATGCCTTCACATCCTGGGTTAACTATTTAAATGTAGGTTTTTGTTATAGAAAGGATAATTTATATGTGTCTATTGAATCTTTTATAATGATTGATGGTTAAAACCAGTTATCCCTTTATTAGTAATCGTGATTCCAAGACCGATGTTTTTAAAATATTGAGTGACTATTTTAAAAATGGCCCCTAAAATAAGCAATCCACCTAAGATATTTCTGAATATAAACTTATGTTTTACTAAACGATAATGGTTTCCGATTCCTTTTATTAATCTTACCTTTTGGTAGTCAACTAACCATTTTCTGCGGCGGCGACTTTCTCATTCTAGGTTATAGTTATCATTTAAATGGGTGTCTTCACAAATTCGTGTTTATAAAGGTCGGATTATCAACCACGATTTGTCGTAGGAAAATAACGGAGATCATCAGGCAAATTCTTGAGCTAGTATCCAGGAAAGTGAAATTACGGATTTAACTTTATCGGTATTTCCGATCTTTACACAGATGCTGCGCGACAAATTTTATTGCTGCTTAATCTGTTGAATGTAATTTACGACGTCTCGCAATTTTCGTATTTGTTGTATAGAAAGCAAGCACATTTTTCATCGAATATTAAAAACCTATCTTACACTTTCGCTGCTCACAAAATGTTTAATTGATCCACTTATGTATAATTTGCGAGACTTGGCCCTACAGGAATATACATATATGTTAGGTGCTTTCAAACGTGTTTCTGTATTTATAATTATTTATATACTGGGGTCTTCTTCAAGTACAATTGACATTTCTGTGGTAATATATTTTGTTTTCTGTCTTATAGGTGACATTTTGTTTCTTTTTTACTTTTTCACATCCCTATACAGTGTGTTACTCCAATAGTCTGAACGATCCTGTACCATGCTGTACCGCGTAAAACCAGCAACAGCCCAGGACCTCCTGGGGTAGGTATTCCTGCTCCCCAGAGGGCGTCCAGCCCACAAAGCGACAAGCGCGCATGAGGTTATCTGTTACACGACCGTTCAGACTATTGCAGTAACACACTGTATAGTAATGTAAAAAAAGAAAAAAAAAAGAAATGAAATCTCATCTGGAAGACAGAAACCAAAATGTATTGCAGATGTCAATTTTACTTGAAAACGACCACAGTGGTGGTTGAAACGTCGTACAATAAACATAAATCGTTTTTGTTCGGTCAGACAAAGGAGTTCTATGAACTACAAAACCACAGGATATTTTACATTTAATACAAAAGGGCAAAGTAAAACCCACCTTCAATATCAACAGATTATAAACAAGCACTAACCAAACTGATGATCATTTTTGAAACGTGAGAATCTTTTCCCACCTGCTAACAAACGTTTGCCGCATTGGCAACCCCAAATGTCTTTCCTATATAAATCCGAACACCCAGTTTAAATGGTTTTATTTTAATAAAAGTTGGTGAATGTATTTATCTTACTGTAAATAACAAGTGAAAAAATTTTCAGCCTTATCAGTTGGACATTCCGGTTTTTATACTGCTTTTTTTTAATTCACTAACGTTCTAAAAATGAATGTTTCAGCCGCAGTAAAGAATCAACGTTGGCGGATTTTGGTTCTTGACATCCTTTACGATCGGTTACGATGCCTAGAGCACGGAGACCTGTACGATTTCGTCAACTTAGTGAGTTTGATAGGGACCGTATAGTGGGACTTCGGGAAGCTGGACTTTCTTTTCGGGCACACGGAAGACCAATTGGCATGCGAAGTGTTTACCGACGAATGAGAAGTTTTGGCTTGTTTTCATACCGGCCACACTGGGTCCTCCCTTTAACTCGAGAACACCGACGTAATCGCCTTGAGTGGTGCAGACAACGGTCACTCTGGGATCAGGAATGGAACAGTATTGTCTTTAGTGACGAGTCTCGATTTTGTTTAGGCATGTACGATAGTCGTGCCAGGGTTAGAAGGCGACGTGGTGAAAGGAGGAATCCACAGTTTTTTGTTGAAAGACATGTTCATCACACTGTTGGAGTTATGGTTTGGGGTGCTATAGCTTATGGTTCCAGGTCACCTTTAATCTTCATCAGAGGTAACATGAACGCGCAGCGTTATATCCACGAAGTTCTAGAACCCCATCTTTTACCCTATCTTGACACCCTGGCTGATCCAACTTTCCAACAAGATAATGCCCGACCACATGTTGCAAGAGTCACAATAGACTTCTTTCAACATAATGATGTCACATTGTTACCATGGCCACCAAGATCTCCCGACTTATCCCCAATTGAGCACGTGTGGGATATGATGGGTAGGAGATTGCTCAATTTGCAACGTCCTCCTCAGACTCTAGAAGCACTTCGAGAGGAGTTGGTGGTTGCCTGGAATGAGATACCACAGGAGGACATTGACCACCAAATCAGAAGCATACCTAGGCGCGTTGGAGAATGCGTAGCACATCAGGGTGCATCCACACATTATTAAAGGTCAAAGGGCTTTAAAGCAGTGCAATCATTTTGAAATTTTTATCATTTATTTATTATGCTCCATTAAGTACTTATACAAAATTGTATTAAAATAAAACCATTTAAATTGGGTGTTCGGATTTATATGTCACTTAGTATATTTCGAATAATGTACAATTTATTCATTACATACATACGTTTTATGTCTCAAATTATGTCTGTACCTGCAGGAGTTTATATGTGCAACTTCGATTGTAGATTTTTGTACCTCTAAGATACATATACAGTGCATCTCAATCTTCAAAGATTCGTACAGAGACAATAAATAAACTATCAGCTCGAACAAAAGCTTCAACGACAACATCAAAAAGAAAATTTAATTTTGCATACCTCTGAATTTCTCAAATAATGTAAACAAATAAATCATTCATCAAACCAAACAATCTCATTTTTTACGCTTTCTTGGAAAATCATTGCCGGGTGCACTTTAATAGCATTTCAATCAATGTTAACGGGAAGAAAATTGATTCAAGTAGATTGCTACGGTGATACTATATTATTTATGTGAGATTAGTACTTAAATAGCGGAAAGAAGAAGAAAAACATCGATATGCCTCAAATACTAAATGAAGACATAAACCATCTAATGGCAGTTTGATGCCTGTACCTTTGCTACGGCTGAAGGATGGTGTTCCCATGGGTAGACCCATTTTCCTCTAGATAAAATTCATCCTCTGTTGTGATCAACGCCTTTACGCAGAAAGATTTGTATTTTTTATTAATGCGTTAATCTCATGAGATGCTTCTTGTCATGTCATGGCTAATTAATAACCTAGGCCGCGTATTGAATTGATATCAGATCGATCGTGTAATATTATTCTTATCATTTTGCTATCACGAAATTATTATTTCAACCACATATCTAGAATCTGCACTAGGACTTTCTGACATTTCGTCTAGCTTACTATACTTTTGCTAGATGACGACGTGGTTTATCTTTGATATCTACATGTATTGAGGTAACTTAGTACAAAGTAGTAAAGTCAAGCTACAAGAATCAAATGATTGCTACCTGAATGCACTGAATATTAGTGAAGTACTAGCACCTATTCCCAGTAGCCCATTTAATAATGATAATAATGCCTTTCTTGACTCGCTCAAATTTTGGAACTTATGTTAATCTATGGTGGAAAAATAATCTTGACTTTTCTGGCTTGAATTTTGTTTTGATTGCTTGAAGAGTCGTTGTTGAAAAAAGCCTAATTCTACACGTCGTGGTTTGAGTATTATAATACTATTTAGGGAACAAAAGTAAGCCAGGCGGATACGAT